CGAGAGGAAGAGAACCCCGTGGAGCCCCCCCCCCCCTACCCTTTGATATTTAAACTCGGGCAAGACTCCTAGTGTCGTCGGCAGCACAACCAAATAATTGGCCTACCTTAGGTGACATGATGTAAGACATCAGACACCCCATAGATCGAGTTTCGAAGCTCGAAATCTCCACAGCAGAAAGAGTGGCGGTGCCCGAAAAAGGCGGCGTTGAAACCGCCGTCTCGTCGAGGCCTTCCCGAAAAATAAATCGTTTGATTGTCGACTTCCTCTTCGGCTTGGAGCAATCGAACTCCGAAAAATCGGTCTAGGTCCAAGACTCACCATCTTGTGTCACCTACTGCTGTACCCCCCCCACGGAAAATGCATCGTTGCATCGCGCCGCATCGGTTGCCCTGCTAGGTTTCCCGTCATCTCCATCGCTGTTGCAGTACGTCCGCACCCCCCCTCGCTCATCTTGCGGGGCACGACACCACACCGACCTTTGAATTCTCTTTCGATACCCGGACACAACGGCGCAGGCTGGGGCGTGAGGTCGCGGAAAGACATAGGGGACGGCGTTCGCCCCCCGCCGGAGGTACACGTTTGCGGGAAGAGGGTGGCGCCGGACGCGGACCCTGCGGAGCAACGAAACGGCCGCGGAGGCGGTAGGAGAGGGAAGAGCGCGTTCCAGTTGGGCAGGGGACCTGCCGAGATCGTGAGCTACCCCGGCACGGTTCTGCTGCTGGTCATCAACCTCGCCTTCGCGTATCATCTCTGGGCGAAGCGGGTACGTGAGGTGGTCGACAATCGGCCGCTGCAGTTGTTGAATGCTAACACTTGCGTGCTGATTTGGAGCGCACGCAGTGCTTTCGGTGTTGCGCAGAGCCCCTTCAAATCATGATTAATGTTTTGGACGTTTTTTCCACTTTTTTGCGGACATTTTTTCGTTTGTGCTGTCGGCATGAACCGCCCCGAGTCGAAGATTAGTTGCGTTGCACTCCCTCGGGTTGAGGCTGCACACAAACCTCTAGACAGCATCGAAAAATATCACACTGCGAACTAAAACTATACATACACACACGGCAAAGAGGCGCTATGCACGTCCACGTGCGTCTCAACAACGACTGAAATAGCCGCTTTCAAGCATCTCTCGGGCAACAAGTATGCCACTTGTACACGTACCTACGGCGCCACACACGCTCACGTGCATCTAAAACACCGACTTAAGAAGCCACCTCAAGCCTCTCGCGGACAACAAAATTTCCTGCCACCACCTCCGTTGGTTGTTGTCAAGGTGTCTCCCGACGCCGTGGCTATCAGCTACTCCCTGTTTTGGGAGGAGCGTGAGTACTGGCGGCTCTTCACCGCGTCCTTCAGCCACTTCGAGCCGCTGCACCTGGTCTTCAACGCCATGGGAACGTGGAACACCCGCGAGCTAGAGCGGCTGCTGGGGACTTTCCGGTACCTGTACTTGGTGAGACACGGAACCCGCCTCCCCGCGTCGATGTAGCGGATCGACGGATCCCCCCCCTCCCCGTCGCGCGCTTGTCTCTCCTCTGTGGTGCGAAGGTTTGCTTTGAGTGAAATTCTATTTTCCTGTCTCCATGTTCCCGCGTGTGTGGGCTTGGCCAATGACGTTCCTCATGTCTTGTGCCGTTGGCGGACTCTAGCGCACGCCCCCGGTTGCCTGGCCCTTTCTAGTGAGCAAAGAGAGCGCGAAGAGGGTCGATGTGACGCAACACTTGACAGGCAACGGAGATGCGGGACCCCTCGCTAAATGCGGAACCCCCCCTCCCCCCCCCCGCGGGCCGCCCGCC